GGGGCTTTTTAGTGTCAAACAAAACATAATTCAGTATTTTTCTACAACACGTTTCCTGGACCAAACACATCTCTTGAACCACTGATCCAATCTAGAACTTGTATTTTTTTGTAATTGCAAATATTAATATTCAAATCATTGTTTAGGTGTCAGGTATGTGTATCAATACTGAAACTGAGCTCTGAAAACAAAACGTGTTGACTTTTGATTCCCTCTACTTCAGCATGTAACCAACACAAGATCAGAAAGGGAAGTGAAATGCGGGTGACGGAAATGCATTTCCTGTGGTCAGGCCAAGCTGTAACTTGCTAACATCCCCTGTCCGTTTACTGTCATTGTCACTAGGGCAACAGTTGAGCCATCGTTGGGAAAACACAGGGCATGTACTGTATGTTATATTTGAATGACGGACTTTTAAATTTGGGACAGATAGATGTTTTGTTTTCTGGTTGTGGCGAAAATCATAGTATCTAATAAGTTTGTGGATTTTTTGTTCTGAGATATACATTTTTTTCAAACCATAGCTTATAAATTCCTAAACTCAATATTCATCACTAAACCAAAAAAAAAAAAAAAAACATAAAATGTACATTGTATTTGATATGATCTTTAATACTAGCTACGTAGTTCTAGTAGTACATAAAAGGGCTGGCCAAAGGCACAAACATTGCTTGCAGCCAGGTTAAGGATATTTAGTTATTTATCTATCATCTGTCTGTCACTGTCTATCATTTTTTTTTTTTACAAGTGATACCCATAATTGCAAAAAGCAAATCTTGTGATTCATAATATTTACGTTGTAATCACATGCAAATCTTAACCTGCAGAAATAGCTGGATTTTGTGGGTCATCAGCTCTTGTCACATCTTTAAACCACTAAATTGCAGTAACTGACCTAGTCTTAAAACTTATCAGCCTTATCTTCTTTATGTTGATCCATAAACCAATTTTAAATTTGGTCCCTTACAACCAAGACAGTTGACTCACAAAGCAGGCAAAGAATGGATGCCAACCTTCTCACTACTGTTCTTGTGCTAATTAAATTTTTTTCTTTCTTTTGAGTTTTTACAGCACTAGTGGCTTGTTTTTGTTTTTTTACGAACAGTAGGCTCACAGGAAAGGGGGCATGAGAGTGGGGGAATGACATGCAGGAAAGGACAACAGGCTAGATTCGAACCCAGGTCGCCGACGTCAAGGACTGAGGCCTCCATACATGGGCTGTGTGCGCTAACCACTACGCCACATTTTTTAAAGATTATGAGCAGCAATACCGTCGTCAGAGATTTATAGTTCCCACACTGCAGAGATAATGGAATCTGTGCTTTAATGTCGGGCTATACTCATTTTCACACCGACATATAAAACCTGTCAAAAAAACAAACATTACCCTCAACATATCTTATTCACTAACCATTTAAATCAGCTATTCTCATTAATTTAAGATTAAATTATTCACAAAAGAGTTTTATATTAAACTGTACTTACAATATTTGTGACTGTTGTTCACCATTTCCCCTTTTCCTCTGAGCACGGAGCAGCCGGTTTGCTTGGACTCCCAATGAATGATGGGATATCCTAGGCTACAAAGCATACACCGGACTCGTCCTTCCAACCAGGTGAAAAGAAGGCTACATTTGCTGGCTGCCTACGAAGGAGCCTTTCAATCCGAAAAGGCTACACTGTCGTCCTATGACGCAATTGATGACGAAGGACGCAGCTGCTGGGGTTGAACACAGCCACAGAATGCTAAGGTGTCAAGACAACTCACCTGTATCCAAAATGGAGATTAGCAAAATTAGTAAAACGGGAAAGAGTTTCCATCTTAAGAAATGTGGGTTTTTGATTATTTTAATCATTTCAGCTGTTTACTGTTGTGTACATTTGGCTAACAAGTAACTAATGGTGACTGCGTGGTATCCCATGCTGACATGTTTTGAGCTGTTGGTTCCAAAGCAAGGGTCACCAAGGGTTTAAACACTGATATAACATTTATATAAGATGAGTAAACGTTTACTACTGTAGGAAGCATAGCTTAGTGTGAGAATAGGTATCGTTTGTAATAAATCGGTTTACATCTGTGGGTCGAAGTTGCATTTGTTATGTAGAAATGGTATGTGAGTGATATAATAGATATGCAGTAATTATTTTAAGACATAGCATTGCAGAAGTATGCTAAATATTTGAATGCCATACCTCTTTATGTAATATAATATAATATAATATAATATAATATAATAGAATAGAATAGAATAGAATAGAATAGAATAGAATAGAATAGAATAGAATAGAATAGAATAGAATAGAATAGAATAGAATAGAATAGAATAGAATAGAATAGAACAGAACAGAACAGAACAGAATAGAATAGAGTAAAATTCCCTTTATTGTCCCACAATGGGGAAATTGTGGTGTTTACAACAGCAAAAAGATTATAGAAAAATATTGTCACACAAATGTGGACCATAGGAAAATGTATAAGATAATAGTGAAAAGTTAAACAAAAAAATACTGTTTTGTAAAGTGTTTTAACAATACAAAACTGTGCACCTGGAGAATAAATAACCAATGGGGAGCTATGGACATTTTTACGGTAATGGATATTTGAAAATAGCGGCAACATTAGAGATGTGCAAAATGACAGCAGCATGTTAAGTTAACTGACTAAGATAGAAACTGTGCAAAATCTGCATGAATGTAGCAACTTATTGAGGTTGTTGGGAACTGTGGTGATTATAAAATCTTAGAGCTGCTGGGAGGAAGGATCTGTGATAACGCTCCATGGTGCATTTAGGGTGCAGCATTCTGTCAATGAAGGAGCCCCTAGTTCTGCAACAGCTTCATGCATGGGGTGGGAGACATTATCCAACGGAGATGTTAGGATCCTTTTGTTTCCCACGTCCTGCACTGAGTCCAGAGGGCATCCAACCACAGAGCTGGCAATCACCTAAAGTTTAGAAATGAGGTCTAACTGCTCATAATGGTGTTTGTATGAGGCCTGTGTCAGGTTTAAACATGGCTGACATATAAAGAGAATAGTAATAGGATTTGTGACTTATGGTAGCTTGGAGGGGCAGTTTTGGACTGGGTTTAGGGTCCTTCTTTGTGTGCGATTTTAAAGCATTTCTTAAAATCTCTCCTCTCGCCTAATAATTTCAGAAGGATGATTCATATTTTGGTTGGCTATATTTTGCAGATATTGCAGCAGCATCCGAGCACTTTTCTGAAATTTGGCAATCACTATTAAGAAACTAGGATTGCTGTCATTAAATGAGCTGTTTTTTGAGGCTTTCTCAAGTTTCTACATGCTTTTATTGGCTTTGAATCAATTTGCTGGTTAGCAGGACAAATGATGAAAATTTACTGAAACCAAAGAAATAACAAATAAGATGGCGCAAATTTTTGTGGAATGCCATGGATACTATGAGAAAAAACATTAAGTGCAGCCACAAGAGAACTTCTCCTTAGACCCGAAACAACTATTTGATAGAAGAGGAACTGAGACAACCAGCTTTACCACACTGGACAGCACATTTTAGGCCAACAAGCCAAGTAATTCCCAAATTATTATATTAAAGATGCTAAGGTCATGAAATCAGGATCATGACGAAAAGAACAAGGTCTCAGATACAAGCAGCTGGAATGAGCTTTCTCCACAGGGTCAGTGTGCTCTCCCTTGGGGAGAGGCTCAGATTAGAGCTGCTACCCCTAAAAAAAAAGAAATAGGATTCAGCTCAAGTGGCTCTGACATTTTCCTCCAAAGGTGTTCCAGGCATGTCCAGGAGGAGGCCCAGGGGATGGCCCAGGGCAAGCTGGAAGGACTACTATGTCTCTGAGTTGGCATGAGAAGGCCTCAGGCCAACAGGAGCTGAAGGAGGAGTCTGGGAGTATCTGCAGACCCTGCTACCCCCACAATCCATACCTGGAAAAGCAGGAAATGACAACTGTGAATGATAAATAAATCACAATGACAAAGAGGATCAGAAGAATTCAGTTCTTATATTAAAAAAACCCTGTATGATAACTGTTTCAAGGTTATATAAAATGTAAAGGTTTATTTTATAAGGTGTAGTTACCGTAATTGGATTAAGTATTTTTTTTTAAATTATACATATATTTAATTTTGCATTCAAGTATTTGTAATTCCCTTATACTGTTAATACTGTTTTCTCCATAGTTAGGTAGTTTGTGTACGGTGATATTCTGGCAATATGATTTTATGTCGTGTTTAATGTTTTAATCACTTTTTATATAAAGGTTCCACGGTTTTTCTTACATTTCTTGATTTCTTTAAACCAGTTTTAAATAATACAAGACATCAAACTACGAAAAATCTGGTTGGGTTTTGTAATCTATGCGAAATCATGAAGCATTTCTGAGCTGTGCTGTTTTTAAAATGGTTAAATAAAAAGATGCTCTCACTCTTTTTTGTTATCTTTTATTTTTAATTGTTAAATAAAAGCCTAATTACCAATGACATATATTCAATCATTTGATAACTGACATTCCAACAGATAATATTGTTGCCTTATGCAAAGTATTTGATGATTTACGCTGGTGAAGACATAAAATTGTGACCTTGTCTTTTCTCAGATAATTTTTGAATGAATTTGTTTATTAGACAGTGTGATGTAATGATTTTTACATTCATATAAAGTTCAATTATATGCTTCTGGTGATGCACATGCATGCAAGCTTACATAACAAGGGATTAAAATCTAATTAACAAACCCCCAAAAAAGCTCATGCAGTGAACAATGTTTATGTTGTAAATTATATATTTGGATGACTTTTAAGGATTTTAAATTTTAATATATCAATACTAAAGCTGACAGCAAGAGAAAGAGCAAAAAGACGGCTTTTAATATAGACCTATATCAACTTTATCATCGTTTCTTTGATAGTATCAAAGCAGCCACAGCAACTATCACAATGACGCACCCAGGCAGGAAACAGAATCAGAGCAAACCGGAAGAAGATTTCAGCCAATCAGCTTTTGCAAAGCGTCCTAAGCTGAGGTGACGTCACACCGGTTCAGATGAACAGCCGGTAGCGCTGAAGAAAGCTTGAAAAAAATCGCCTTTTGTTTGTATTTGTCCGCTAATTTCACCGCCAAACGCCCAAACATCATGCCTTTCGATGTTAGGAGGTGAGTAGGGGGCTTCTGCTCGCGTGGGTTTAGATTTAAAGGCACTGTTGGTGTCTGTAATAAGGGTGCTGGGTAATGAATTGACTGTTGAATGCAGTTAATTCATCAAACAGAAAAGGCGTCGTTACAAGAAACAAAACCTTTTTTATTCATGTGGGAGACACGACTCAAAGACTTATGACCCTGTAGTATGTTTTCTACTCTAAGAAGTGATGCTCTGGTATGCTGCTAGAGTTTTTCTCGGGTTTGCGCATGCGCAGATTTCCTCCTCCATCTAGAAGGCATGAAACCGGTTTGAATTGTAAACATCTTTAAAACAGAGTGATGCCATATTTCTATAGTGCTTTGCTTCACAACACCGAAGAGAAAATAAAATAACCCATAAATTTTGCTGATCTGGTTATACTTTGGAAAAAACTAATCATAGTCACACCCAGTTTCTGTGGAAGACATCTGCTTTTTCCCCACCCTTCACAAACTTAGAATATGGTCATAGAAAAAATAAAAATAAAAGTCCAAAACCACAAAATTTATATCCCTTTACCCTCAAACGATAATAGGAATCATTAAACAACAAAAGAAAATGTTTATAACGTGCCCCATTTTCTTTTTATTTAACTGACTGACAGTGATTCACAATTTTCCTAATACTATAAACTATATTTTATTGTTCCAGTGTTAATTGTCATTACATTGTCACAAGTACAGAGCAATGAAATGAAACATAAATATGATCATATTTATTTTATTTCTAAAAGAAAAGCAAATATTTCATATACAGTTTCTCTTTTCACAGCTTTTCAGTTTATTTCAGTTTATTTCTTTAGCGCCAATTCACAACACGTCATCTCAAGGCACTTTACAGTTCACCAGATCATACTGTCAAACTGATTCAAAGTTTTCTATCTAAAGAAAACCAGTTGATTGCATTGACTTGAATGCAATCCCTCACACTAAGCATGCTTGTAGTGACAGTGGAGAGGAAAAACTCCCTTTTAACAGGAAGAAACCTCCAGCGGAACCAGGCTCAGTGTGAGCGGACATCTGCCGAGGCCGACTGGGGTTCAAGGAGACAGAAGCAGAAGCTTTTATAGTGTCACAAGTACAGAGCAAAGAAATTCACTCTCTGAATTTAACCCATTCCCTTGGGGAGCAGTGGGCTGCCATTGTGGTGCGCCTGGGGAGGAGTGCAGGGTTAGTGGCCTTTGCTCAGGAACCCAGTCTGTGGGACTAGTTTCAAACTCACAACTTCAGGATTCCAAGCTCTATACCCTAACCACTAGACCACCACTCCGCCACAATAACATAATGATAGAAAAGTTAACCTACATGTAAACTTTTTTTAACCAAATGAGTATGTGTAATGTTACACAGAAAATGTATTGTGATTTTGATGCAGACCTATAGAAGAAACGCCTACTGCATCCATTGGTAGTTTATAAAAAAGACAGTTGTGCATGTTATTCTGCTTTTAGTCCTAACCCATAAGGAGATATTTGGTTTGTCTGGCCATCTGGTCCGGTTGTCAGTGGGCAAGTAAGCTTCTTAACTGGCACAGATCTTATTAACCTTTCCAAGGATTACCTTTTGATGAAAGTAATCGTAGGTTCTCCTGTAGATCTTAGGCTTTGACTGGTATGACCTTAAATGTTGTTGAGCAAAGTTCTTTGTTATTTGAGCTTTTAATTTTTTTTAATGCATGGTATACTTTATCCGCTGGTACTCAGCTTTCAAAAACAAACAAAAAAAATCTAATGAAACAAAACAGCTTATCTTCCTAACTAATTTTATTCATAATTGCTGTTCAACCACTGGATCAAGAAACAATCTTTAAATCAAAAAGTCTACATCAGCGTTTGCTGTTATTAGTCACACTGTTTTTATAATTCATGGCGTTTTTCTCCCCTTTTTTTTTTTTTTACTTCCCAGTTTCATTGGGAAGTAATGATGATGTCAGGTTGCAGTGTCAGGGCGATGTGAGGATGAAATGGGTTGATCACGGTCCGTTGAGTCTTAGTTGCAGCGGCAGACCGAGAGCTGGACAACTGGAAATAACTTGATTGGCCAACATACTATCTGTTTCGAGGTGTTGCGTTCTGCATACTAACTGATAGTCATCACCGTGAGAGTGTGTAACATGCTTCATTACTGTATATTACTTCATGCAGAAGGGTAGCTTCCGAGAAACCCGCGTTATGTTTTGTTTAACCACAGCAGAGGTACGATTTAACATACAGCTGACTCATTCTAAATTTGTTTCTGATTTATCGCTCGAATCCCAGAGAAAGACAACTACACTTCCACCTTATCGTGTAGACACTAGCATTCATTGTGTTTCTGTGTGGTTTTCAAAGCAAAACCCTGGAAATGATTCTCCTGTAGTAATACTTTCATCATTTAAGGAAGAGAAGGACTGAAACTGACTGATATCTCTTTATTTGACCAAAGTTTTGGTGCAAATTTAGTATGCCACAATGTTATAAAGGTTTCAGAATGAAGCTACTCATTAAAACTATTCAGGGTAATAAAGCATGACTAATAACATGTTTTAAAATAAGCATCCCTTAGAAAATGTAAATTAGGATGAGCAGTATTTACAAAAAACGAATACGAAGATGCCAGGAAGCAGCTGTTCTCAAGTTTTAATTATATGCCTAAACTTGTTAGCGGATTGTTGAAAAGTAGAAAGTGTCAGGACCTTAGAAACATCATCAAACCGTACAAATATTTTTATTGCGATTGAGACTTTTATGTCGAGGGTAATTAAGGGATATCAGGAGAGCTGAATTGGTGTGTAGCATCAGAGAGGCACGTTCAACAAGCTCTGAACAACAGTCCTATTCTCCTGGGGGCTGATAATCTGATGCTGGCATGCTCCGTAACGTGGGCTGATTCGTCGCCATCTGGTCTCTGTTTGGTCAGTTTTACCAAGCAAAGGTGAGCATTAGAGAAGGGCAACAGTCTTTGATCAGTGATAGATGGAAAAATCCATGTTTTTCTAAGAAACACATCATCACATGCATCTTAGACTTGGTCAACTGTAACATTTACAGCGAATAAAGAAGTGACTATTTGAATTTATTAATTTACATTTTTTTCTCTACAAGCTGACGGGTATGCAAAATGCATCAGTGAACTTCAATACAATATTGTGGTGTATATTTCAGTCTTTACCCTTTATTTCTAACCCCAGGTTTTGTGCTTTTACTCAAGGCAGTAGGGCTTTGCAGTCTATTATGGGTTGTTGGCAAAAGGCAATGTGGTCCAGCTTCTTAGCAGAGCTGCTAATTATATCATGTCACACCTTTCAATGCAGTGTCACTGTGTGCCATATGGACTGTTTCAATGCAGTATTTTAGAGGCCTGTCAGTAATCTTTTAACCACTTGTAAGGAATGATTTTTTTCTATTATGCTGTAAAAAAGAGCAATTTGTAATTGTAAATAAAAAAAAAATGCATGTCATAAATGAAATTCTGAAAAAGTTCTAAATCCAAAAAATGTTTTGGGAGTAACTTTGCTGTTTTCTCAGATTTTATCTTTTCAAGTTATTATTATTATCTTTTTACTTTTTTTTCCAACCCAGTGACACCTGATACAGATCTTAGTGAATAAGGAGATATGTGTTGGAACATTTTGGCTTAATCATAACATTATCATTGGCCTTTTAGAGAAATCTGAGTCAGTTTAAACACAAAATCCTGTATTATCTGGTTAATTATCTCAACTTATACATAAATAGAACATTGTCTAAACTGGAACATAAGTAAAACTGATCTGTTATTAAGTAATAAGTATTTTCCCCTTGTTGCTGTGTGGGGGATTGGTAGGGATCAGCCATAGGGAACCTGTTTGGGCTTGTGATAGTAGTAACAGTAGAGCACAGGGGTGTTTATTTAAGCAGATAAATAATGTCAGCTATATATATATATATATATATATATATATATATATATATACACTCACCGGCCACTTTATTAGGTACACCCGTCCAACTGCTTGTTAACACTTAATTTCTTCGCAGCCAAAAACATGGCGGCAAGTCAGTGCATTTAGGCATGTAGACTTGGTCAAGACAATCTCCTGCAGTTCAAACCGAGCATCAGTATGGGGAAGAAAGGTGATTTGAGTGACTTTGAACGTGGCATGATTTTTGGTGCCAGAAGGGCTGGTCTGAGTATTTCAGAAACTGCTGATCTACTGGGATTTTCACGCACAACCATCTCTAGGGTTTACAGAGAATGGTCCGAAAAAGAAAAAACATCCAGTGAGTGGCAGTTCTGTGGGCGGAAATGCCTTGTTGATGCCAGAGGTCAGAGGAGAATAGCCAGACTGGTTCGAGCTGATAGAAGGGCAACAGTGACTCAAATAACCACCCGTTACAACCAAGGTGGGCAGAAGAGCATCTCTGAACGCACAGTATGTTGAACTTTGAGGCAGATGGGCTACAGCAGCAGAAGACCACACCGGGTGCCCCTCCTTTCAGCTAAGAACAGGAAACTGAGGCTACAATTTGCACAAGCTCATCGAAATTGGACAATAGAAGATTGGAAAAACGTTGCCTGGTCTGATGAGTCTCGATTTCTGCTGCGACATTCGGATGGTAGGGTCAGAATTTGGCGTCTACAACATGAAAGCATGGATCCATCCTGCCTTGTATCAACGGTTCAGGCTGGTGGTGGTGGTGGTGTCATGGTGTGGGGAATATTTTCTTGGCACTCTTTGGGCCCCTTGGTACCAATTGAGCATCTTTGCAACGCCACAGCCTATCTGAGTATTGTTGCTGACCATGTCCATCTCTTTATGACCACAATGTACCCAACTTCTGATGGCTACTTTCAGCAGGATAATGCGCCATGTCATAAAGCTGGAATCATTTCAGACTGGTTTCTTGAACATGACAATGAGTTCACTGTACTCAAATGGCCTCCACAGTCACCAGATCTCAATCCAATAGAGCATCTTTGGGATGTGGTGGAACGGGAGATTCGCATCATGGATG